TTTATGAGTTTTGGAGTCAAGAAGCGATGCTTTTTAGGTGGACTGTAAGTTGGCACAAGGCGTTCAAAAGTGGCAGTTTTGTTCTGGAAGTATGTGTAACACTGAGCGTCTTATTGCTTTCGGTGGAGCCACTTGCATTGCTCACAGTCCGAGAACCTGAGGAATCAAGGAAACGGTGAGAAACAAAAACATATTCAACGACTGAAGAACTTTCCGGCGAAACATCAGCGTCAACGCAAGTAGAGCTGAATTCGTATCGATTTCGTCGACTTCGCCCACGAGGACGCCAGAGCGCACTAAGGCACTGTTCACAGTCTGAGACCCTGAAGAAACGGCTGTTCGGCGAAAAGCAAAAAATACTTATTGATCGGAGAATCGCCAACCGCCCCGTTCGACGAACCGCCGCGGTTCAGCGGTTGGGCGAAAAGCAATAGATGCGTATCGATTTCGCAGGCTCCGCCCTAGAGAAAAACGCCAGGGTGGTCGGGCTAGCGTTTTTCGCCCAACCGCTTCGCCGAACGATACGTATCAAAACCGTTTCGCCCAACCGCCAATCGATACGTATCGAAGGCTTTTCGCCGAAGCGTTTCTTTCTAGAGAAACGCTGGGCCGCAGACTGTGAACAATGCCTAAGAAAGTGTTTTCGCGCGGGTAAGGCCGATCCGCCTGTCATACGTATCTAACCCCTTTGGAAAGGCGCCGGATTCATCACCGAACCACGTGTCGATACTTATCAAAATCCTTTCGCGAAAGCGTTCTTTCTCCGATTCTTCACTGCGGCAGATTGTGAGCAATGCCTTACATGTCTATACGAAGATCATCCACATCGAGCGACAAGGGAATAAGCGGAGATTGTGAGATGCTTCCACAGTACCAGATAGCGTTTTACTCGCATGATGTCCTTTAGTTATAAATTTTGTTTAAAGTGGCTCTTCACAAAAATTTAGCTTGGAGAGCCCTTCATTCAAACGTTCAAAAATGTGGTGTGTAGATTCTACACTCACTCCATATCGATTTTTACAGCCACTCCATATCGACTTAAACAATGAGCCCGGTGTGAAGCATATCGGCGAGGTTGGAGATCTCCGTTTTAAATCGAATGAGACAGTTGAAGCCGTTCCAAAAAGCGTGTTTCCTCAAAGGCATAGTCCGCAGATGTCATACATGGGTAGTGGGGTTCGAAGTGCAAACGTTAAGGTCGTATTTGCAAGATAACTGAACAACTGCAAGATGTGATATGAAAAAATATCGCTGGTTATGAACCAGGTTTCCTGTGGAAGCAAAATCCTGGACTCAGGTTAATGATGTCGTGAAGTGGTTTGAGAATGAATCCGTGGATGTCTCAAGTAAATTGGGAATAAATCAAGCTGAAGTCGCAATAGTAGTTGGAG